GATTGAATTAACTCGTAAACTATTCTCTTCGTCAGTTGCATTTTTCTTCCGTAGAAATTGTTCAATGATATTATTCTTCAGGACAGTTTCCCTGTTAGCATCTTCAATTGGAAATACGGTAATTATAAGCATGATATCGTTGCCGAACTGCCGAACCGTTAACATTCTCCATACACCGACACGACTGAATTCGTTGAAAGTCTACAACAAAATCAACTGTTAATAACACAATGGAGATAACAACCATCACTAACAAAACAATTGATACTATTAACCAAAAAAGTCCACAATCGCACCGTAACCGTAACCGTGAATTGCATGAATTCGAATTCCAACAACATCAAAATTTTTAATCAGTTGAAAATTTGCGTTACATATTTGCATCAAATCTCTCGCAAGTNGTTTTCTGAATGATCGTATTTGTGAAAAGAAAGAAAACACTCTCGATGTATTGGTGCAAAACAATGGAAACCAGTGACCTCTTCACCACTCTTCGCAACGAACTGTTGAAATTCCGAGACAATATTCTTCATGCGTTCAGAGATATTCGTACACGTGTCGATCGGTACCACGTAGTGTTTACTCGCTGAAAATCGACCACCAACAAAACCCACGCAAACGGCTTCGTCCAAATCGTGACCAATCGTGAATTCACATTTGTTACGATAGCCTTCGATTTGAGGTGATCGACGAATCTCAAACGACACATAATGAATGTATAATTGCTATTAAAATAGGTATATATTTTTTCAGTTTATAACTCAGACCGGAAGGAATACCTATCACCTTACGAAGCCAGTGTTGGCTATATAGTGGAAAAGTAATCGCAAGTTACCGCTTACCCCCTTTACAGGCAAATCAACCATTCACTCAGGTAATACAGATAAAACACCATAAATTGATATTCTTTCTTTATTTTGGACATCCAAAATGCATAAATTCAATGGTCCCTCAAGTGAACTTAACAGAATCACCGAGCCTTTATGTGGACAAGACATCAGAAACCCGTCCTGTTGAATGCAATTGCCCTTGCAATTGTCGACCTTCCTATGTCGGCTGTTCAGATAAACAATTGACAGCTATGGATGATAGCGGATCCATGCAAGGTGAATGACAAAGAATAAGACTACTGCTTACTGGTTTGATGAGATGGGATGAGTTCATCGAGTATGCAGCTTTAATGTTGGCGAATTTCATCATATTAATGAGCGATTTCGTCAATCGACTTGCATTAGCCATTTTGTACTGCAACTGCTCGCTGTACTCCACATCAGCAAATGGTGTCACAATCTCTCGAGCAGTCTTTTGAACTGCTGATGCACATTCATCGGCATTGCTTCGCTGAAATCTTTGCTGCTTTTCAGGAATTAACATAAATGAAAAATACAATGCAGATGGTTCGAGCTAGTAAAATAAGACACAAGTATTAGTTGATGCTGGCTCACTTGAATATCTCTGCCTTTCGGTGGCTCATCGTTGACGATTTTAGCGCTGATTTTCGATTTCTTGATTGTGCAATCGTTCAGAATTCGCACAGCTTCCAATGCCTCCTCTGGAGTGGCCATCGAGAAGTAGGCCGTATCGGATGTGACCCGAATCTTCCTCACAGACTCTTTCCCGACATTTCTAAAGCAACCAAATCACAAACGTTCAATGAAGAATCTATGCACTTTGAGAGAAATGTTTCAGAGGAAATTAATGACACCACATCATTTGGGACATTATAGCATTTCTTAAAACAGAAAAATTCATGACGCTACGCTACATCAGGGAGAAGACGAATGACGGATCATTTAATTTGATCTTGGAATCCTTGAATTGAGCATCGGATTAGTTCCGAACGGCTTTAAGTCCGTCACAAGAATGCTTCCATTTACAGTTACTTGGTTGGTTGCACTATTGTAAGTAACCCAATACACACAGCTGACCCAGTTCGCTTGATAACAAAAGCAATCAGTGATTCACTCA